TTAATGCCTTTAGTAACCGCACATATTCAGATTGGGTTTTCAGGTCAACAGTGCGGAAGAGGGTTGCGGCCTGAGGGCACAGAGTTTCTCTGCGGACAAAACTTCATATGACCCCCCCCCCTTCGGCTCTGCCCTTTATTTATTTGTTTGTATGATGAACATACAGTAATTAATTAATTAACTAATTCCCTTTAAACTTGTTAACCAATGGCTTTAATGTTTATTTTGGCAAAATTATAATTCACAGGATACTGTGTAATAAACATGTGAGCTAATTTTTTTCCATTATGTTAATTAAAAACACATAATTAATGGGATTATTTATTTCGATATAATACAAAGAAGCATCTATGCAGTGTGTTAATTTTAATTTTAAATCTGAACCTAAAATTAACATAAAATTATTCTTTGATATAAAATTATATAATACAAAAAGGGGGGCACGCGGTAGCATAGTTGGTTGAGGCACTATGCTACAAGCCGGAAGGTCGCGGGATCAAATCCCGATTTTTTTCAATGTACCTAATCCTTCCAGTCGCACTATGGCCCTGGGGCCGACTCAGCCTATAACAGAAATGAGTACCAGGAATATTTTTGGGGGTAAAGGGCGGCCGGCGCGTAAGGCTGAAAACCTCACCGCTAACTGTGAGTCGATTATTTAGAAAACGTGGGAGCCCCAGCATCTCACAATCATATGGGCCTCCACGGCTTGTTACACGGGATACCTTTACTTTACTTTTTACTCCAGTAGAAGCTTACCGACGTTTCGGAGAAACATACTGACTCTGTCTTCATGGTCGATGAGTCAGCTGAGAAAATAACCAGCATGAACCAGGTCTAACTAAAGGGATATTGACGCAATGGAGTTTGAGGTTGTGAAAATATTAAATTAATTCGAGAGTTCAATGAGTAACTCTTGCGCATATGATGATGAATTTTGGAGTCACATAAAAGGCGGTTAATTTCAAGCGTAGCTAAGCGACTGTAGGCTTCTCAAGGAGGGCTCTGCTCGATGTGGTAAGAGCATTCTTTAGTATATAAAACCATTACATCTGTAAACTAGTTATGCTATCAAGTATGACATTTTAGAATACGAGCATTTTTTTTCAATTAACACGTAGGATATTAATAGTAACAACACAATTTTATTATAAGTAAGAGATATCCACTAGTAAGTGATAGCAAATACTGAATTTGTCGAGACTGCCAATATAAAATATAATCAATATCTCTTGAGTATTCAGAGATGAAATATACGTAGATGGTAAGATACCACTTCTCAGTTATTTGTCCGGTTGCTCAAGCGGTTAGTCGCTGGCTTCCCATCGCGGTGGCCCGGATTCCATTCCGGGTCTGGTCAAGTGGGATTTGTGGTGGACAAAGTGGCGCTGGGGCAGTTTTCTCCGAGTACTTCAGTTTCCCCTGTCAATCTCCATTCCACCAATTGCTCCACAATCATCCCCACCTATCATCTGGGGCTGGTACAGTAGGCCAGGAGTGGCCGCAGTACAAGGGACTTAGTCCCACCCACTAGCAATAAAATAAAATAATATTTGTGCAGTTTATACATTTCATTCTGTGTTCTAAAATAAAGTCACGAAGCAAGTTAATGTAACGATAACATTCTAGATTTGTACACGGAAGTTGCTTGCTGGACAGGACACAGATTATCCTGACGTTTCAGAAGGTTTCCTCAGTCCCTCCGAACAAATTATCTGACCGTACATAGATAGGACTCACTAACCCTTCCTTTCAAATCCTTTCCCATTCATTATTCATCAATCATCCTACAATTTTATTGGCAAAGCCGTAAAATGAACCTGAAACCGAACTATACCAAAAGACGGTTTCTATTGTTTCCCGACTACTAACATAGAATTGGACACCCCTGATGGAACTCAATATTTGAATCCACTGTAAACTAATAGGCCCTATTGAATGGTACAGAGCTTTCACACATAAGAGGCAAAGGGTTGCATTTTAAAGTCACAAGAAATATAATCACAAAGGAGGGAGAAGGCCCAAACATTCCCCCCAGTAATTACATTTCGGTCTCTCACCATCCACAGCTGCTTTCTACAGAATTTAATTTTGTGTTTCCTCCACTAAAAAAATCTCAAGTTATGGCTACACCATCGTCTTCCTTTTTGTCTGTATATTATTCCTCTTTTCCTTTGTTTTCGTACTTTAGCCCATCGTTTGTTCACTGCCTTTGGGTTCAGGTCTTACAACTTATCGCGCCTGCAGTGAGAGAGTTGCTGTTGTTAAACCGAGAACTTAAGTTGGAGAAATGTACGATACACCAGACAAAATAATGAAATAACTCCCACGAAAACGTATGGATCTCACAGGCTTTGCTCAGCCTTGCAGTACACTAGGATCAAGATGTATTAGGTACTTCCTTCAAGGAAGACAATACTGTTTTATTTATCAAACAAGAGTGCGCTTGTGTATTTCGTCTGGACTACAGAAATATATAACGGAAGAATTTCTTGAAATTTCTTATAATAACTGAAAGACCGCCTCTGAGGTCTAGTGGTCAGATTTCCTGTCTACAGATCCAGATAATTAATTAATTTATTTATGTTATTTTAAGTGGACTGCAACCTGCGGTTTTAGCACACATCAAAGCAATGCAACAGTTTGGACGCGTTAAGACACCTGAAGATGGCCATCTATGGCCGAAACATGTTGTCTTAAGTGTTAAATGGTGAATCAACAATTGTTGCAATATTGACTGACTGGATACATAGACGTTTAATTAAAGATTTGCAACAGGACGTTGAAATACAGAACCACTAAAGTTCTGTTTTTCTGACAACAGTGAAGGAAAACATAGGCCTTCTGTTGCAGTCCTACCCCAAACGATATATCTTCCTACAGTTGCGGTCTCTCTCCCCCAACTTCTCCACCCCCGTTGAGCCCCAAAATGGAAGTAGAGCGAAATACACAGGAGGGCCCTCAACCTCAGTGCTCCACTGGTCCAGCTGTACTCCATCTACTGTGTGAAGAAGGCTGCATCATCGTAAATTATAATTTACGATTACGTCACTAATTAGTGACGTAAATATTACCTCATCATTAGTAAGTTACTGGATTCTGTTTTCGACATCTTCTGATGTTCTTGCGACGGTGGGAAATTCAGACATACTTACACGGGACATTTCTTCCTTAATGTTGCTTACAAGCCTGTGGTTCTGTATGGGTGTGAAACTTGGTTTCTGACATTAAGTGAGGAACATAGACTGAGGGTGTTTGAGAGCGGAGTGTTGAGGAGAATATTTGGACCGAAGAGAGATGAAGTGACAGGAGGTTGGAGAAAACTGCATAATGAGGAGCTTCATAACTTGTACTTCTCCAAGTATAATTAAAATGATCAAGTCAAGGAGGATGAGGTTGGCAGGGCATTTAGAATAAATGAGGAAAGAGGAATAAATACAGGATTTCGAATGGAAAACCAGAAGGAAAGAGAGCATTAGGAAGATAAAGATGTGTGTGTGTGTTTGTGTGGGTGGATAATATTAAAATGGATCTAAGAGAGATATTGTTGGGTAGTGTGAACAGGTAATGAACCTTCGGATTCCATAAAATTTTGGATAGTTCTTGAGCAGCTGCACAACTTGAGGTTTCTCAACAAGGGCTCATCCCTATGGAGTTAGTTAATAATAATGATAATAATTGTTAACATATTTATAATTACAAGTAATGGAAACTCTGTCTCGGCTAGGATTCAAGTTTATGACTGTTTGCGCATGAGATCAACGAGATAATTCATTGCCTACATTATGTTTATTGCCGGATTATAAATTTGTATTACTTAATAGCCATTAAGGGCACAAGATCTGTAGAACTTCAAGTCTGTGTAACATGAAATTCGACTTTACGGCTTTTATTCCTTATTTTATAGGCCGGGGCGGCTCATTAAAATTCTCATAAAAATTACATTTTGAATTGCAATAAGGTGACGTAATTTCCCTCCAACTTCAAATACAGTCTTGTTCCATTAACCAGTAAAGAAAGAGTTCATGCTTAGAAACCTTGAAAGAATCACAATTTCTATGCGAGTGCCTGGTGACTATGCTCCATCATTCATAAATGGGGTAGTATGTAATAACAGTTAACCCATATATGGAGCTATGTAAGAGACATGCTTTTTATTATTATTGTCTCACTGATTACACTGGTTTATTTCTCGCATCCGAATATCCTGTATTACAGCTCGGGACTTCCCCTGCGAGATCTTTGTTCCCAGACCACAACATTACCAGGAAGCTTTCATATTCCGCACATGATCAGGCCACTGCATGCGAGGAAAAGCGTGTGTCTCCATTACGTGCTAGTAACTTTAAGAACTCCCCATTTTAATATACTAAAATCTTGATTTGTTGACTTAAAATACTGATGTGTAGGCAAGTGTTCAGGGTAGGTGTCAAAATAAACAAATCCTATTTTTTTTTCGCTTTTTCGTGACATAACCACCGAATTCGTCTAGGAGTAAGAGGAGGTTGTTATATTACCGTATGATACTGTCAGTAGATGATAGATGAATCATGAATCGGAAATGATTTGGAAGGAAACTGTAAAATACTAATCTACCAAATACACTATGTAAGATTTGAGGCTTTCACGGCGGTGACTATGAAGAAAGCAGTCTTCTGAGATTTGGCGCCGTGTATATGTGATGTTAACTGACGTTTCTCCGAAACGTCGGTTAACACCACATATACACGGCGCCAAATCCCAGAAGACTGCTTTCTTCATTACCAAATGCACTACTGGGGGCTCCCAAAATTTACATTAATATAATAAACAAACCGCAGCAAAATTTCTTCATTTAAAAAACTATCATGTTCTTATGGGTACATTCAATCCTAAATTATTTAAAGAGTGAATACGTATACATTACGCCTTTTGTTGTGGATTCAGATAAATCGTTTTCATACTTGCTCATTACGTGATGACATCATGCACTTTTACTATGTACGTTGATTTCAAAATACCTCATATTTCTGCCGCTGCCCGGGATATGCGCTGCTGTCATCCGTAAGCTTCATTAAGTCGAGTGCTGCGAGAGACTGGCCTCTTCAGAGTACTCATTCCCTGCCGGAAAGTATGAATACAGAGCACTTGAAGCTTGGGAAACCTGGAAACATGGAAGTAACCACGGATACTATTTTCAATACAGGCTCGATTAGCAGCACATGAAAACAGATAAATCTCCATGTGAGTTTCAGTCAGGATTTCAGTTATTATTCTCTATCATTTATCTTAGCACCATTATCCGGTCACCAAAACTGCATCATATAAATACGGTGAACTATTTATGTATGACGCCGGTCACGGTAGCCGAGCGGTCTGAGGCATGTACTCTCTTCGCTCGCTTGGAAACCGGGATCGTGGGTTCGGATCTGTTTCCTGTGAGGTACGAACTGAATTCTTATATATTATTCTTATACACTGCCGGTCACGGTAGCCGAGCGGTCTGAGGCATGCACTGTCTTCGCTCGCTTGGAAACCGGGAAATGGGGGGGGTCTCGAATCCCACTCAGGTCATGGATGTTTAGTTTGTGTGTGTGCGTTTATCTGTCTTTGTGTACAGGTAGAGGCCTTGCGACGAGCTGATCACCCGCCCAAGGAGTCCTACCGAATGTGTAAGATCTAGAAAAACCGAAGTGAACGGAGAAGTTCATGGAGGTAGGCCTAGGCCCACTGGGGCTGTAGTGCCAAGGAAAAAAAAATATGTATGAGGCTAGAATTAAAAAAATAAGAACTAAATATGAAGAACTGATGTTGACCATGGTGTTTATTGTTTTGTTTTTGGTCACAAAGCTCCATATTGAAGGCAATGCTGTCTGAATTAATTTATCTGCCGCATAAAAGATTACGCTGCGATTTGGATAGTAACTTATTGTCGGAGACAAGGAAGTCCTTGACGTTCGCGACGTCCTTGTACAGCAGTTCCGTCTGAGTCACTCGGCGGGCTCGGTTGCTATCGGGCCGCAAAGCATCACGGGTGGAAGTAAACACAGACGGGATGAGAAAGAGACAGAAAGACAGGGGTGGGATTCCCTTGGGTGAACAAGCACAGAGGAAAACCTGGACATCAGTCGCTTCAGAAGTCTTCTTTTCCTGGGAGCGCTTTCTCAAACAGAGCTGACGAGATGGCCCAGTAAACAGCAAAGTGGAAGCAAACGAGTGACTCTCCACTCCACAAATTCTCCCTTCACTCCACCTCTAGTCAAACATCCTAAGTTATAAGTAAATACCAAGGAGTAGAGTAAGTGTAAAGGGACATAGATCAATAATCCTGCTTCATGTCCTTACGCTGGCCCATAGCTACGAAAGGATAAGCCGACCACTAGAGGTCGTCTCCTAATTTCAAAATGGACCACATTTCATTAAATACATGTCTCATTTCCAACATTCATGCATGTGTCATATCGTATTTTGATGCCTATTTCACGTTTATGAAATAAATTTTAAATTAGGCCTTCAGCGAATAACGACGGTCTACTGGGTCAGCTGAAGCAGCACGCAAACTGCCTATGGGAAGGACGAACGGATTTTATTCACTTCAAGGTCGCGCATTCAACTCTTCGCATTATATTGAGACACATCACATGAAAGCCAGGATAACAGAACCAGAGAAGACATCCATTGCTAGGTTACAGCAACCTAGCCAACTGTTCCTGCGGCAACAGAGGTTGACGAAACAGTGGAGGAATTATTGGAGGAGAAAAATACAACAATGGAATAACTGTTGGAGGAGGTGTTTTCTATGCGGTCGGCCCCGGATCTATGTACCGGAGACAGAAGCTGCCAGTTGTGCAGCTATTCTAGAACTTCCCAGCATTTTATGGAACCCGGAGGTTCATTACAGTGTTCACAAGAGCCATCACTGGTCCCTACCCTGAGCCAGATCAAGTCAATCCATACCTCCCCACCCTCTCTCTCTAAGATCCATTTAGTATTATCCACCCACTTACGCATTGGTCTTCCCTGTGGTCTCTTTCCTTCTGGCTTTCCCAACAATATCCTACATGCATTCCTTTTGTCCTCCATTCATGCTACATGTCCTAACTATCTTATCCGTTGATTTCATCATTCTAATTATACTTGGAGAAGAGTACAAGTTATGAAGCTCCTCATTGTGCAGTTTTCTCAAACCTCCCGTCACTTCATCTCTCTTCAGTCCAAATATTCTCCTCAGCACACGGTTCTCAAACACCCTCAGTCTATGTTCGTCCCTTAATATCAGAGACCAAGTTTCACACCCATATAGAACCACAACAAAATTATATTTCTGTATATTCTAATTTTTATATTTTTAGACAGCAGACGAGAAGAGAAAATGTTTCTGGACTGAATGGTAGCAAGCGTTGCCCGAATTCAATTTTCTCTTGATTTCCTCCTGAATCAGGTTTTGATTTGTTATAGTCATACCAAAATATCTGGACTGGGCCACATTTTCAAAACACCTGTTAGTAATCTTTATGTTATGATTTTGCCATGCATTTTGGTGACGAGACAGCAACATGTACTTAGGTTTTTTTTGTGTTTACTTCTAGATCAACCTCCTTAGTAGAGTCAATTAAAATGAACTGAAAAGATATGATCTTGCAGAATTAATAAATATTTTCAAGGTAGAGATTTTTTTTTATTTCACATTAATTCTCTCATATTTATAAGGGAAGTATTGCCTGTGGGGGGAACTGAATTGTGCAGTGACCCAAATTATTATGAATTACTTCAGAACATAATTCCGGGTAGGAAATGCCAGATTTATGAGAGATCTCAGCAGAATTTATGGTGATATGTGCAGACCCCATAAGAGTTATTTCGTACAGAATACATAAGATCGAGGGTGATATGAAATGGATTTTTATTTTTCCAGTGATGATGATTCTAACGCTCCTACGTGTAATCTTATCGGATCAGATGAAACTATATAAAACAAACAAACTTACGCTTCCTGGAAATAACGTGATTACAACCACAGAGTCAGCATTATGCCACTAAATCCTTCTTTAAACAATTTCAAATAGAAGGAAATCATGCGAAAAGTGACCAATATAGAAATTTGTTGAACGAGTGTATTACTTGTCATCTTTCCTGGAAATAACGCATTTGCAAGAAATGGTTCAATGCGGATTACAGAAGTTTCAGCCAGAAATTAGCAGGAATAAAGGAGAAACGAAGGCTACAGAGACATTGACGAGAGTTCATTGTTGAAAAGAGTAAACTACGTGAAAGCAGGAATATGAAACTGTTACCACATATAGAGACATTGACGAGAGTTCATTGTTGAAAAGAGTAAACTACGTGAAAGCAGGAATATGAAACTGTTACCACATATAGAGACATTGACGAGAGTACATTGTTGAAAAGAGTAAACTACTTGGAAGCAGGAATATGAAACTGTTACCACATATAGAGACATTGACGAGAGTACATTGTTGAAAAGAGTAAACTACTTGGAAGCAGGAATATGAAACTGTTACCACATTGCAGGAATATGTAAAATGAAAAGGTCAGTTAGGTCGAATTAAAGTTGGGTGACTAGGATGGCCAAGCAATTATTGTCTCAGTTGTGGCAATAGACTCATCTTGTTCCTAAGATATGGTGACTCAGAAAAGTGAAAGTTCTTGTTAAAATATACGTATGTATAGGCCTGTATAGAATTCGGTTCCCTTTCCCCCCCTCCCCCCGATTTGAAACTGTAAATAAACTGAAAATTCCACTGAGGTGTATGATCAATCATTCGAAAGCTGACTTAAAATTGACCTTCGTGAAACGAAAGTTCTATGATGGCACTTGTGGAAACCGAAGAATTCCGCCATCTTTGTTTATGGCAATTTCTGCCATTTTGTATAAATTGGGCCTGCTTAGTATATCAAGAAATTGTGACAGTCTTCTGTTTCGATGTGTAGTTATTGAAAATGACTGAGCTGGCCAGAAACTGCAGCAATTGTAAACGAAAGACCCGTCCTCTCGTCAGAGAAAGAACCCCGCAACAGGAAACCCGTAACTGTCAGACATTAATAAAAATCTGGTCATAAGCCGCAAATGGGTTCTTTATTCCAAGACAGACTGACCGACTGACCATCAGTCATAATTTACACGTAAGACTAGAAGAAGAGGTCGTTGGGAACCACCATTCAGAGATGATTTGAGCACGGAAGCAGAAGAATGAACACTGTTGGAGCCGTTACCAGGAAACGTCTAATAACAGACTGAGAACATTAGTCTGCGTGCTCTAGTGATTTGTAAAGTGTGGAAATTATCAATGGTGCTATAATTAAGTGTAATTATAAGTTGTATTTTAAAGTGGTCAATAAATCCAATATCCAATTCAAATCCCCGTCCATAGTCACACATACATGATACAATAAATTTCACTTGTATAGCTGTAACTTAATTCTGTTCTTCCTCTGGACACTTTACATAAGCGCAGAACCTTGCCAGTAACTTCTAGCTTCAGGGGTGCAGGATCTCAGTAACAAGGGAATAAGTTTAGCCTGCATGTGCTACATGAAGAGAGGCGGTGACCAAAATCCCAGGACGTATATGTAGCTAATTGTCTGATGACTCTAACGGCAGTGACTGATATCTCCCGGCACCCTGAAATATTTACCCTTCCATCAGCAGATGAACTGTCACAGAGCTCCACTCGTGAATGAATGCAGACATCTGGCTCTAACCATGATGGATGTTCGAACGCAGATTCAAGTTCATTACACAATTTCTGCAAATCTAACGAATCTGTCTACATCAGAGCCCGTTGTAGTTTTATCTGCCGTCTTTACTGATATCAGTGTTTACTTCACGGTAAAGATAAAACAGGTAAAAATGTCCTTACGCTTAATTACTTAAGCACAATGCCATGAAGACATAGGAGGTGGCGGTATAGCACCGCGATTATTGACCTTGGCACTAGATTGAGATGAGGAAACAGCTTCACGCCCCGGCTGCTTTACACCCTTGGAAAGAGCCCCAGACTCTCAGTAGATAAGAGTATGGGTGGGCCCCATAGCCGGTCTGGACGCTGTGGAGTAAAGAAAAATCTCTTGCCCGTGCTTGGAATTGAACCCAGTCTTCCAACTTGTAGCCCTTTGTTATATACCGACTGAGCTATCACGGAT